ACAGCAATGCTGGGCTAAAACCAATCAGGAGAAATTTAACAAGTATGAAAGTGGATTCCTAATATTTAAGTTTAAAAAACAAAAACTAAATAAATGCAACAAGAGCGAGACCCAGCTTAAGAATCTTTAAAAGAATTCATGACTTTTGTCTTTCCTCTGTCTGAGCTCCCCTTTCAGACAAAAGAGTACATGGGATTCTGTTATGGACTGAATAATTGTGTTTCCCCAAAATTTGGCTGTTGAAATCCTAAACCCTGTTATGATGGTATTAGTAGGTAGGGGCCTTTGGGAGTAATTAGATCACGAGGGTGGAGCCTTATGAATGGGATGAATACCTTTATAAAAGAAAGCCCAGAGAGCTCTCTCACCTCTTTCCACCAAGAACAGAGAGAGAAGGTAGTCATCTGTGAACCAGGAAGTGGGCTCTCAACTAACACTAAATTTGTTGGTACCTTGATGTTGAACTTCCCAGTCTCTAGAACTGTGAGAAATAAATATTTGTATTTAAGCCACCCAGACTATGGTATTTTGTTAAAGCAACCTGAGCTAAGACAGATACCATACTGGCAGATGAACTGGAAGTAGGGGTGCGTGGGGCTAGATTATGGTGCAGAGCCATCTTAAAAGGAAGAAATTTGGGATCTAGCCATGCAGAGCCCTACTGGAGTGTCCCACGGAAGTGAGTAGGAAGGGCAGAGAAAAATACATGCAAGGCTGTGGGGCATGACAGGGACATGTGGTCTACGGGCAGTGCTGGCAGATTTGGAACTGTGAGAAGGAAGCAAAACACTGAGGTACTAGAATGACCATGGGGCTTTTCTAAGCCAAGACACCATAGATAATATGTAAACAAATGAGCAAGGCTGTGTCCCAATAAAAATGTATTTGGACACTGAAATTTGAATTGTGTGTAATTTTCCTGTGTCACAAAATATCATTCTTCTGCTGCTATTTTTTTTCAACCATTAAAAAAGATAAAAAACACTCTTAGCTCTTGAGTAGCACAAACACAGGCAGCAAGCCTTAGTTTCTCAACTCCACTGGTGGGCCGTAGTTGAATGAAAAAATGAATGAAAATGCTTTATTAGGTGTTTTAGGCGACAGATATAGCTAAGAGCAGGAGCAATGGAAGACGGACTTCAAGAGAAGAAAAATAATTCTATGAAAATCCAGATATTTTAGGAAAATTCTGGGGAAAAAATGCTAATCTGTAAAAAATACTAAAAAATCACAACTGTACAGTAGTAACCTGGGCCAAAAATTCACCCCAGGAAATGTGAAACTGCTTCCTTCAAAAGAGAGAAATGTCATCTTCCCATAGCTTATGACATTTGTTAAAGCTGAGGCCAGGACAGATACATGAGAATTGAATATATACAAAGGACAGAGAAAAGCAGCTTCTCCAAGACAGGATTGGATTCCCAGTTACATTACTTCAGACTGGCAATGCAAAACTTTTACTCCCCAGAAGAAAAGCTTTTTAGAAATAAGTACAAATTAAATTTTCTTCTAGAATACTTTGGGTTAACCGTAACATTAGTATTTGATTTTTTACCCCAACTGATCTGAGTATTTTGATTTCATTTTCCTTGTACTTAGAAGTCGAATGAACTTAGTAACTGAAATGGCAGCTGCCCCCCTGCTGAAAGAGAAATATGAGAGCAAAGTGAAGGGATTTTCTTATTAGATGTGTACTTTACATGGAAAAAATGTGCTCCCAAGTTTTAGTACCATGGAATTGTTCAGAATTGAAGATTGTCCCATGATTCATGTACTGCAATTAAACACTTAAATTCAATTTCCAACAAATATTACTTTTATGTCAAATATGATGTTTATAAATATGGCACGTGGTTTACTAGTTTCTAAATGAACAATGTTAATACAAATTCTAGGGCAAGAGTGACAGCCTGGTTGTATATAGCACTGTACAGTTTGCCATCATCCTCTTTACATTAAAAAATAATGAATCTGGTCTCATGTGCGGGTTCTTAAAAGCAAGCATCACCTGACCACAAGACAATATGAAGCCACAGCTCATAAATAGTAAATGCAAAAAGGATTTTCTTACCGTTCTGAATAAGTACAACTGAAAGCTTTCTGGTCCTTTAGGGACCCAAACTTATTAACAAAAGTTTGGAAGTTCAAGGGAAAAAAATATTTTTTTAAACACTTTAAGGAGAGTGATATATTAAGGATTTGTTTCTCCCTCATTTTCCAGAAGCCTATCATTCTATAGTCATAATCATTTTTAGGTTGGAAAACCTCAATTTGCTCCTTTTTATGAGTAAGTATCACAACTGCTCCCTTTTTCCCAGAGTAGCTTTAGGAAGTCATGGTCATTAAGTTCAGCATAGTACTTGTATCAGTTTCCTACAGCTGCTATAACAAAGTACCACAAACTGGGTGGCTTTAAAGAGCTTAAAAGTATTCTCTTACAGTTCTACGGGCTAGAAGTCCAAAGTCAAGGTGTCAGCAGGGTCGTGCTCTCTCTGAGACTCTGGGTAGAATCCTTTCTTACCTCCTCCTAGCTTGTGGTGGTGAGAGTCAATCCTTGGAGTTCCTCTGTTTGCAGGTGCATCACTCCCATCTCTGCCTCCATCATCACCTGGCATTCTTTTCCCTGGGTCTCTTTCTCATCTTCTTATAAGGCATCAATCATATTGGATTAAGGACTCATCGTACTCTACTTTGACCCCACCTCAACTAATTATATCTAAAATGACCCTATTTCCAAAAGGATTACATTCTGAGGTTCTGGGGGTCAAGATATCTTTTGGTGGGGACATAATTCAACCATCACAGTACTTAAAGAAATCTGACTCCAAAAGGTTTCAGGCTACATGAATGAAGAATACTGAACGTAGGCCAAGACCATATCAACAAGCATTCGTGTTGAACGTCTTCCATGCAACAATAAGCCTACCTACCTCTTCCTGAGCATCTTTTCCATCACAGGCACTATATAACATGTCCATCACACAACACTGTTAACCCTACAACTGCACTGCAGGGAAGATATTTCACCTCAGGTTTATAGATGAGAGAAATGAAGATCTAAGCAGTACAATGACTTGCCCAATGCCAAATCAAGAGAACAAGAGAAGCAAGCAAGGATATTCAAACCCAGGTTTGTCTGATAGACAAAGCAGTGAGCAAACTTATAGGGCCATGTGGTTTAATAACAATAAAAAAATTATTATTAATTGGCAGTGGAGTGATATGATTTAGAAGGGTTGTAAATGTTCAGAGAAATCACTGTGTAGGCTGGAAGTCTTTATAATGTTTTATTCTGAACCTTCTTACAGATTAGAATTACATTTAAAACTACCAATTTTTGAACATTTATTATCTACTAGGCCTTGCAGTAGACACTTGAGATACGGGATTGAACAAGATATACTCTCTTCCTTCAAGATGTTTATTGCCTAGTAGGTGAGAAAGACAAGTAAATGGACAATTAAAATTTGGTATAATCAGATAAAAATGGGTGATATTTATAGAGCATTTATTCCATTCCTGGGTCTATTATAAATGTTTAACATGCATTAATATACTAACCCTCACATGGACTCTGTGAAGAGGTGTATTTTAAATCTCCATTTTAAGAAAGCAAAGGAAGGTTAGCTTAACCCAGAACGACACTATCAGAGCATGGTGGAGCTGGCTCCAGAATCCATACCTTTAATTTGTTAAACTGTCCTGTTTTCCCAATAAAATATAGATGAATAGAAGAAAGTAAAGATAGTAAAGAAGCTCAAAGGAGACAAGTATAATTAGGCAGGGAGTGCCTTGCAAGGGCAACAGTACATGAGTAAAAACCTAGAAGAAAGTGAGATCATAGCCAATTCAAAGACGTGGGGTAAAATGTGTGTATAATAATCTTACCTAGCTCCTGAGATTGTTATATGTAGTGTATGGGACAAATGAGATAAAGCCTTAGTCCAGTGCCTAGCAGTTAGAAAGCACTTGGTACCTATGGGCTTCCTTCACCACCATCAACATCATCTCCAGGCTGACTATCAAGAGGTATGCTGTTAGAGGGAATCCAGGCATCAGGCGGGGTGGAAGGAGGTGAATCTGATCAGGATTTCCCAAACCAGAATGGTTAACAAAAGCACTTCAGGAGACTTTTTTTTTTTAATACATATTTTAGAGCTCCACAGCAAACTAATAAATCAGAACCTCTGAGCGGTGGAATACAGAATGTGCAATTTGACAAAGGAGACAGGTATAAGATTTGGGAACCACCAAGCTCCATAACCTTTATCTTTCCAAGCCTGACATTCCATGATTTCAACCTAACACTTGATCTGGTATCTAGAAATTTGGAAAAAGCGATACAGGTAGAAAAGAGAGAGGCAAGAATATCCGTAATATTATATTACTCAAAGCCAGAGTAAACATTCTGCCGCAGTTATTCTGGCACAGGGTTATTGTGATGCTGCTCAAAACAGAAGTCACCAAATGTAATTTTAAGAAAACCACCCAAAAAACTGTCATATTTATTATGTTGAGTTTCAACCAAGGGCTGATGCTCAGTCCACCCATGAACCCGACCTCACCTCCCACCACATACTTGAATCTCTCACCATTCCTGATTCTCATGCTGTTCTTCAGTCTGGTCCACAGTGAGGGAGCAAAAGGGGGCTCTGGGATAAAGTTATGTCCAAGCATATCTGTTATGTATAATCCTTAGTAATTACATATAGGTTTTTTTTGTTTTTTGGGTTTCTTTGTGGTACGCGGGCCTCTCGCTGTTGTGGCCTCTCCCGTTGCGGAGCACAGGCTCCGTACGTGCAGGCTCAGCGGCCATGGCTCACGGGCCCAGCCGCTCCACGGCATGTAGGATCTTCCCGGACCGGGGCACGAACCCGTGTCCCCTGCATCGGCAGGCGGACTCTCAACAACTGCGCCACCAGGGAAGCCCACATATAGTATTTTTTATATGTGACAGAGCAGAGCAAAAATTATTAATGGGTGAATATTCCCAGCCTTACCTTCCTCAGTAGTCATCTGGTGAGAATTGTGTCTTTAATAGCGTGGTTCCTGGGATTTTGTGATGGAGACTCTGGGCAATGGCTAGACAGAGATGGTTAACGGCTAGATAAAATAAACGACAACAACAAAAAAACATGGCAAGTGGTAGAATGAAAAGGATAAGATATTAAAAACAAGAACCTGCTTAAACTAAAAGAAAAAGTTTGGAGTGTTGACAGTGGGGAGGGAAAGAAAATTTCAAGTTTAGCTACTGCTCTGAGAGATATTTGAGAAAATTAGGAAAAGATAATTTTAATGAAAAAAGATGGGAGTTTCAGACTGTATCTGCCTTGAAATTATTCAAGAGGTTTCAGAAAAGATTCAAAATGTCTAAAGTACTTTTGATTTATGGACTGTGTTTTTCTTCTAAGGCAGCACTGACGAGCACTGGACTACAGAGAGTACTAGCTTTTATTGGGGTCACACACATTTCAACATAGCCATTTTGATGAGATCATATCTAAATAACTTCCTAAAAATTCCAGGAGCCCAGGAACCTGGATGGACTCTTTATTCAAGCCTCAATTTAGATCTTCATAAAGTAACAGCAGAGATCCAACTACCATATCTCCAGAAGAAAGAGGAGGATTTCTACTTAGTTATGTCAGTTAATCTGCCTAAACACACAGATGTCAACCGCACTCCTGTTCAATTTTAAAGTTAATAGAAAACTGGGTTTGTATTAACTCTTTGCCTCTCAAGTGTTAATTTCCCAGTTTAAATGTATTTGCTAAAAATATCCAAACTCAAATTAACTATGGGTAAAAGTAAATATAACAGTAATTTTTCTAAGACCTAAACAGGCCACGTGGATATCTCAGAGCTGGCAGTGGAGTTGCTATGAGACTAAGACACAGCCGGGTTCAAATCCTGGCTCTATCTTTGTCATGATACAGGCAGCAGGTAAAGAGATGGAATTTGTTTATAGTCCATGAGGAGTAGAGGTTCCATCCAGGCAACTCCAGAAGTTACTCAAGAGCCAGTAACCCATTAATTGAGCATCTGCATTTCTTTCACCAGGACACAGAGAAGGCAAGCTCCTTTGAAATGTATATGATGCTCTGGACAGAGGCTCAAAGCATCAACAGAGAATCTGGCCTGAGGTCATCATAAATCCACACTGAGAAACCTCAGAGAAATAGCTTTCATCATCCTCAAATTAGCAAATGGAGTCCAGGAGTTTTTATTCCTCTCACCTGTCCCAGTGGAAATGTGAAATGCTCTCAGGTCACAGGCTGTTGAATATACTAAAACTTTCCACTGTGAGTGAAGAACCGACTCCCCCACCAAAATTATATAAAACATGCATATGTCACTCATTTGTCTTCACCTACTGATTGCATTAAGTAAACTGAGTCATTCTTACTGCAGTATCCAATTAGGTATTTACTTGAAGTCTCAAGTTAAAGAACCCCTCTAACTATTGGCAAATATACCTTGACTGGGGGGACTCTAATGATGAGAGCAGAATGTACAAATCAGAAGCCCAAGAGTAGAATGTAGCCCAAGGGCATGTAAGAGTTCTATGGGGCTTTTAATCACTTGAATCAGCTACCATCTTGACAATATTTTTAAATGAAATGTTTCACATAAAGTTGTGGATCACCAGTTTCTCTTGGCAAAACCAGACCCATATTCTCACAAGATGACAATCTAACATTACTGAATGGCAGCTGCCCACTTTAAACAGGGCATGTGCTCGCCAGTTTGACACAGGCCCACCAGGTCATCTTACTCACTTAGCAGCCAGCCTCCTGGAGACACCTTTGCTCTACAGGTTTGCTGTAGTAAAAGTTCTGACAGCCCCATGAGCCTAATCAGAAAAGCAGCAGCCCCCTCACAGAACTCTCATCTAATACCGTTTATATCTGTCTCAGTATGCTACTTGTTATATTTGTATCTTTCACAGCCCAAAGTCTTTCACAGAATAGGTGTCACTCTTTTTAGTTGAGTAAATGAATAATTTAAGCTGAAGACAGCTGCTAAAACTTCTCCTCCCTTGCTTTCAACACAATACTTCTTTTCATGCAGCCTGAGGTCACATTAAGCAATTATAAACATCTGTTAGCAATTATAAACATTCTATTGAACTCTCCCCCCTTCTCAGATCTTATTATAAAAATAAAACACTGGGAATGGCCTCTTATAATCTATGGACACAAACTCAGGAACATCCTTCAAGCATCAGAAGAGGATGGTTCTAGTTATACAATTTTAGATTTCTCCAGCTTGTTTTAGGGAATAATCCCAAAAACCTGGTGTTGAGCCATCTCTCAGAATCTATGGTGCCTTTAGTCATAAGTGCATCTGAAACATCTGATTAATCATCAGGAGAAGACACCTAACGTGAAGACCAACACAGCCGTTGCACAACACCATATGTCAATACGCCGAACTTCTGGCATAAAAGCAGTGGCAGAAACTGCCTAATGTGAAAGAGATGGAGGGAGGCTGGATAAAGAGAAATGGGGAATTAATATAGGAAGAGTCAAGCTAGCTGCTGATGGGTGACATTTTCTCTCCTAGCTGGTACTTTAAGAGAAAGCTCTTTAGGGTTTCCTAAATGATAAGAATGACTAAACTATTAGGTTAACATGGAATTAGAAATTACAAAGAAGTTTATCTCCATTTGTCTAATGTGGGGTTGTATGTGCTGGCTTGTTGCTGCTTATGAACTCCAGAACCCACACTGTTAGCTTTGTCAAAAAAACCAAATTCAACTGAGTAAATTTGAAGATCTAATTTGCTTAATTTCATGATTCATGAATCAAGCAGCATCCCATCTTAACAGATAGAAAGGAGCTCCAAGAAGCTGCACAAAGTGGAAAACTTTTATAGGCAGAAGGAAGCAGGGCAAGGAATCTATTCTAGCAAAAACCAGATTGTTTCAGGCAAGGTCACCCTCCTTTTGGGAAAGGCAGACGTCTATCAGGCAGATTATCTCACTAGTACTGACCAGGTAATTCCAGGTTGACTGGTTAAAGATCACATTCCTGGGAGTGGCCAAAACTACAATTAGGTTAGGTATGAAGTCTTGGTTTGCTAACGTGGGTCTTAGCACAAGTGACTCCATTTTGGGTCTGCTGTTCCCTTTTTTTTACCAATTTCCCCCCTTTTGATCAGGCTCACAGCTTCACTGACAGATGTGACCCAAATTGAAGATATTAGCACCACTCTCAGCTACCACTCTGTGTTCTCCCAATTTTTGCTAATGTACCATGTGGTACTCACAGGTCATGACATTTTTGGTAAATCTCTGAGATATTCACAAGTCATAACTATAGGTTCATTCTTTTTTTTTTTTTTTTTTAATTCGTCATTCTCTTTGTTCCTTTTTTGATGTTCCATTCTTAAGATCATTTTCTTGGTGATTAATACCTGCAAACATTCATTTAAAGATTTTGAGAGAATACAGTGTACCAGGGGAACTACTATGATTATTATAAGCAGGATAATTTCCAATATCTGGGGTGTACTTCAGAGCCACGATCCCCAAGGCCCAAGCCAATCAAAATCAAGTAAGTCAGAGAAAGACCCTGTTGAAGGAGTCACCTTTTTAAGGCAAGTGGCTTGCTCAGTGATCTAACGTAACTGAGTTTCAACTTCCCCAGAAGTGTTAATCCAGGTACAGCAGGTGGTGTTGGCCACAGCACAGACACCTCCTTACTCACCTAAAAGACAGTCAAGGGCTGTCCTATTACCAAGAACGACTTTGGCCAGAGATTCTTAGGATTTTTTTGGGTAGCTATTGTTTCAGCAATGGATTCCGCAGTACTTTCAAGAGTTAAGGAGAGGTTCCTGATCATAGCCTCATTTACATTTACTCCTAACCAGGGAATTAGAGGCCTGCCAAAGCAAATCCTGATTTATGAAAGCATCCTGGTAGGTTCTTCCTAACTCAACGATGTAAACTCAAGGGAGTGGACTAGTGAGATGTCTCAGTCTGTCTGTGAAGAGGTAGGGGCACAGTTAGGTAACCTAAAAGGCATTGATCTGTTATACATCAGCCATCTAGGCATTCACTTTTTAAAAAATGTAATTGGATTCTATGCAGTCTTAGCCAGCTTGTCCACACATTAAAGTTTCTTTCTAAAGACTCCTTTTCCACAAACCTTCTACAACTTTCTTTTTAAGATTCAGATTCTGTTCTGTTTTTCCTCTTTCCTATTCTGAAATACCCAGTCTCACATTAGGACAAAATTACTTTCTTTTCCCTCAAAAAAATGCATCTCTGTTTCTCATTCCTTCTCTTACCAAAAACACAATCCTACTTTGCATGCATACAGAGATGTTGCCCTTTTTCTTTCTAATAGCATTAAACAGTTGTGAACAGTCTGTTACTGACAAATTTATGAATACATTTCATAATTCTTAAAAGTATATTTTCCTCATATTACATTTCCAATGTGACACAAAACATGTTTACCATTAGACCAAAATATCTTTAGTTCCTCTGCTAAAGGAAGCCAAAAATGTATAAACCTGTTTTTACTAATGTTTCAGTTTTTTATTTGGAGATAATCTAAATATTCAGTAAATTTGACTTAACTCATCATTTAAATTAACTTAGCAAAACCTCAAGGTTACAAGTAACCAAAAGACTTTGGCAAAAAGTTCACCTAGAAACTCTTATTCCATTTACATCTATTACATCTTTAAACCACTTGTTCTTAATAATCATGTTTCGATTACCTGCAAAAGCTTCATTAGACATTATACAAAGGTAATCATCACCCTAAGTTATTTTTCTGGCCAACAAATTTTGTAGGAGATAACATGAACTTAATTAGTAAACCCAGATAGAATGAAAGGATTATATTTAATGCTGATAACTCTAAAGATATGCCTGTTTTAATTAAACCAAAAACCTTAAACTAGCTTTTATTTACTAAAGATTAATCCTACATTATGAGAACTTGAATTTGAGTTATGTTTTTATATTTCCAAGAGCTTTAGGAATCTTTAATTTATATAAGCACTTAATTCTCTTCAAGCCAATCAAATAGAGCTCTTCTACAAATCATTTATAGTAATATCATCCAGAGGTAGAAAACACCATATATCTACAACACATATACATAGATACACACAAACATATAGACAGACACAAACAGACACCTTTTAACTTCTATTTAGAAATTTTAGCCATGAATCAGACATAATAATACAAAATTCACTAGTTATAAACATGGTTGGATCCAAATTACGTTTCTGGCAGCTGGAAAAATTTAAAGTTACCTGCTCAGGTAGCTAAAGCTTTTTTTTTTTTTTTAATATTTAAAAAGAGGGTCAAAGATAGAACCTTAAGAACGTCTGTATTTAACAGAGGACTGCAGAAAACTCAGCTAGGAAGAAAGACTGAGAAAGCATGATCTTTATTAATTTTTTTTTTTTTGGCCGCATCACATGGCTTGTGGGATCTTAGTTCCCCAGCCCAGGCCTTGGCAGTAAAAGTGCTGAGTCCTAACCACTGGACCGCCAGGGAATTCCCTAAAGCTTTTTATTAATAGTAGTGAAGAAGACACTTAAGATTTTCAATTTGCCTAAGTTTCAAAATAACCTTTCTCCCTTTACTTTTTTCCTTCTGATAAGAATTACCTCCCTGAAGTTTTCATTTCAAGGAGATGGCCTAGATAAGAAGATAAGAGTTCTAGGCGAAGACCAGGTAGAACATTTACATCTCAAAGGCACAGAGAAAGAATGCAGGATCCTCCAATAAGGACTTTTGTTCCCTAGGACCAGAATTTTTACACCTACAAGTTGTTTGCCTTTGGAATGTTTCAGTAAATCTTTTCACAAAAGCTTCAGAAGGTTTTTCTTTCCATCTGGGTACATAGTTTTCTTTTAGCTTAGGGGAGAAGGCTTTAAAAAATTTTTTTGTCTATCAGGCTCTGAATATCAGCTTCACATTTGGCCAACTTCTGATGACAGAGCTACTTAAAACAAAACAAAACAATCCTTTCAAATATCTTGTTACTTTTTAGCCTGGACAAACAGTAAATAATTAAATAATTTTGGCAATATTGAGTAATTCCCCTTCAAGAGGTGTCCCCAAAAAGGATGCAAAAGATATTTTCTTTTCCTCTGTCTACCTGGTATTACAGACAGAGATTCAGGAGAGCAGACTCTGGTAAGAATTCTCACCCTTTACTGACTTCTGCCAGTTTTTCCAGGATACAACATGCCGGCTATGAATAAGGGTTCAAAGTACAGAGTATAGCTATGATATCCACCAGAACTTGGCAAGATTTTTTTTAAATTTTAATTTCAGTTTTCCCTTTGCTGTTTAAAAGTATTCCTGGTAGCAGTTTACCAGAGCGTCCCTCAGAGGCCCATCAGCTCTTGAAGGGGCCCACATGGGGGCCCTCCTTTAGGGGGACAAATGGGAGCATTTGAGATGATGCTGAAGACTTTTCATAGAGCCTTTGAGAACTTTTCTTCCCAGTGCCCCAGCTGATTACAAGAGAGACATCAGTCCCTGGGCCAGCATTTTGATGTTGCTTATGAGGGTGTGATGTAGAAGGCCCAGGTGTTGTTTTGGGTGCCAGGACCTAGAGCTGTTGCAGCTGTAAGGCCAATAGCTTAGCAGATTTTTGCTTGTGGTCTTGTTCCAAAATATTTGCAAAGTGCTCAGCAATGGTCATGAATTCAGTCAAACCAGCAGCCTTCCGTCCTATTTTCTGCCCTTTTATTAGTCCATTTATCTCAGGAGAGAATTTCTCCCTCTTTTTTTTTGCGGTAAGCGGGCCTCTCGCTGTTGTGGCCTCTCTCGTTGCGGAGCACAGGCTCCAGACATGCAGGCTCAGCCACCATGGCTCACGGGCCCAGCCACTCCATGGCACGTGGGATCCTCCCGGACCGGGGCATGAACCCATGTCCCCTGCATCGGCAGGCGTACTCTCAACCACTGTGCCACCAGGGAAGCCCCAACTCAGGAGATAATTTCTTTACAAACAGGGCACCTAGAGCACATTGAGTGACCTCGTTTATTGAATGAAACCTGGAATGTCTTAGGAAAAGAGCTTCCAGACAGACTTTAAAATCTGCAACAGATTCATCTTTCTTATGTTTACATGTTTGAATAATAGACCAACCAATGTGGGTAGGGAAGACTTTAGGAATGGCTTTTAAAAGATTGGTTGCTATTTCTTGAGCTTTATTTTTTGGTCCATGAGGGGACCATGTTGAACACTGAGGATCTCCTCCTCAGGGTTATGGCATTATGCTTCGCACATCCATTTTTTGGCTTCATCAGGTCCTACCAACATGTGCACAAGCTGACAAAGATCTGACAACCCAGGGTCATACACCCTGATAAAAACTCTAAACTCTTCAGAAAACTTTTGGGAATCCTCCCTAGGTTTAGAAAATTCTTTAACTACTGCCTTTAGTTCGGTGTGTAAAAGAGGAGTGAAAGATACCTAAAGAGGATCTCCTGAAACCTCAGGTGGTGTTATTTTAAAAGGCAACTGTTTAATAGTCTCTTTGCAGTTGAAAGGCAGTTTAGGTGGAGGATTAGTAGAATATGAGCACCCTGGTAAAGGATAGAGGGGAACAGTAGGAGTTATGTCAGTTTTATTGCTTTTGTTTTGAAACTGAGCAGGACCCTGTGGGGCTCCTGGGCATGGAAGCCTTTCTGTGTCCCCTGTTTCTTGTTTGTAGGGAACAGACTCCAGCCTCCATGACCTTCCCTGAGTTCCAAAGGGCAGATTCAAACAGTTGAATCAGGGAAGGGAGGGGATGCAGAGACAAGGGAGGAGCAGTCAAGAAACAATAGTGCAGCCTTGGGGCAGGGTCCTGGTTCTCAAGGGATACACATAACAATATCTTTAAGCTCTTTATAGAACTAAAACTCCCAAGAATGGAAGATCTCAGCATTCTTAATTCCAGAGAAGATCACCTGAGGCCATATTAAAGGAACTAGAGAAGCTCATCAAGAGATTACCTGAGACCAGGCTAAAGGAGTGCAGGCCCTGCACATACCCTAATCTTATCAGCAACCCCACCCTTGAACCATTTTGCTATAAAAACTTCCCACCAAATCCTCCCAGGTTGGGACCCACAGTTTTCGAGGGCAGGAGCCCACTGTGTCCCCCTTTGCCTGGCAAAGCATTAAAGCTCTTCTCTTCTACTTTACCCAAAACTCTGTCTCTGAGATTTGATTTAGCACAGTGCACAAAGGCTGAGTTTTCAGCATCAGTTTTAGGTACCTCTTGGGTCTTTAATTTTCCATTAGTCTTTTGCAACAAATTTTTCATTGAGGCTATTTTGGAATCTTGAAGCCTTTTGGATGTTTCTGCACACCAACTAAAAGAGGTATCCCATTCTGTTTGTTTAATTCAGGAACGCTTGCTTTCAACTGCACTTCTTAAATGAACAATCTTGTCTAATTGGAACATTCCCCATAATGGCCATTGTAATACTAGATTGCCTTTAGTAAGATTTTGCCATTTTTGTAGATATTTATAGCTTCTGGGACCATAGTTCTTAGACATAAAATAAGCACCTGTGCCAGAGATGGCATGCCCAACTCTTTGGAATTTAAGCATTCCATTTTGTTATCGTTAATTTATTTATTTATTTTAGCTAAAACTTTGGGTCTCTTGGAGCCAAACTAATACCTAAAAGGGATGTGCCTCTGGGTTGGGAAACTGTAATGTTTTGCAGTGTACCTCATTGCACAGAAATTTTCTTGAGACTGGCAGGTCAATGTCAATCTAACCCATTCCATGACCAACCTAACCTAACATGGGTGTGTTAGGGGTGAGCACTCTAACACCTTTTAATTGCTTGACATTTCTGTGGCTTTCTGGCTTCTGAGATGCCCATTAGCAATAGCCTCTACTTCATGTGCACATTAACATACCAGCATTATCACTGAGATGTTACTGTTGAATGGCCAATAGAAGGCCCTGTGTACACCAACAGCGGTTCCCATGGAACTGGGGGCTGGGGAAAGAACTGAACCAGCAGTTCCCAAAGAAAGGGAACGGCAGGCTGACTCCAGACAAATGAGGAACTCCAGACTAAACTGCCAGCAGTTCCCAATGTGGAATCTAGGGACAGAACCAAAGGCTGAGGTTTTCCAATCAAATGGAAAACTGTGGACTGAACCAAAGGCTAGGGTGTTGGGTTCTGGATGGGACCATCTGCTCACTCATGCTGACCTGCCCTGTACTGCAAAGCCAATTAGATCAGGAGCTTGACACAAAGAGAACAGAGCTCAGAACCAAGAAGAACTTACCCACAGCCCTCAGAAACGGTGAGAAAGACAGAACTCAGAAGAGTTTGCGGTTACTATGCCTCTGTTTCTCATTGTCCCTGAAGCCACTGGAAGTCTCCTTCGACTCCACCATTGTCACCAAGTCTGTTAAAAAACAAAATTCAACGGAGTAAATTTGAAGATCTAATTTGCTGAATTTCATGATTCATGAATCGGGCAGCATCCCATCTTAGCAGATAGAAAGGAGCTCTAAGGAGCTGTACAAAATGAAAACTTTCATAGGCAGAAGGAGGCAGGGCAAGGAAGCTATTCTAGTGAAGAAAGGATTGTTTCAGGCAAGGTCACCTTCCTTTGGGGAAAGCCAGGGGGCTTTCAGGCAGATTACCTCATTAATACTGACCAGATAATTCCAGATTGACTGATTAAAGGTCACATTCCTGGGAGAGGCTGAAACTGCAATTAGGTTGGGTATGAAGTCTTGGTTTGCTGACTTGGGACTTAGCACAGGCAACTCCGTTTGGGGCCTGTTGTTTCTTTTTTTGACATTTCAACTGTGTTTTCTCAGACTCATGGCACAGAAAGATTTCTGCCTACTTTACATGGCAAAATGTATATATCTGTCCTGTCTCTGTCACCTTTCCTTTCCCTTAAATTTGCACATGGCAAGGAAATCACGCAGATAAAGGGATTAAGAGGCAATAACTTAGGTAAGGGGGGAGGTTTCAAAAGGATATGATCTGAGCTGGCTCCTATGATCGATATAAAAATAACATTCATCATGGTAGACCTGCATTTTAAAAAACACATAAAAAAAATATTTGCTGCATATTTTATCTCCGGGGCCTGACAAAGTAACCGCAGCACTTTGTGTTCCCAAAATTTGACCATGCTAAGTTCTAGAAGCTTTTAAAAGATACCCAAGACATAAAAAGTTCACACCTGCACTTGGAGTTCAACCAATGAAAACATTTAAAGAGAATTTCCAGGGCAATACATGAAGCAAAAATGACGAAGCTTAATGCAGACCAGCACATGTATATGAAATTTCTTATTTTTAAGCCAGGGTAGTATGTTTTCTTAATTGAAGACAGAAAATTTTTAAAATACTGCATTTCTTCTCTGTGCTAGGCATGTGTACTATCTCATTTAACCTATTCAAACACACAGAGGGTAGGTATCTATACAATACCTGCTTCTCTAGATGAGGGAGCTGAGGTTTGGAGAGGTAATTAATTTGTCAAGGGTTATCACAATACCAAGAGCTAGGGCCAGAGTCACATCTGCCCTCTTAAACCCCACTCCAGACCACTTTGGACCACATCACAGCTACCTCCCAGCACAGAGTTTCTCATTTTAGATGCAGGGAGTTAAAGTCCTCCAAGATAGAGAGGCTGCCTAATAGTGGATATAAAACCTGTTAGTATGACCAGCTCACTCTGGTCTAGACTGACCTTTCTGGTTTTGGGCACCAAAATATTGCATCCTGGGAAATCACTCAGTCTCTGTTTGAAAAAGAAAAATTTTGTGCACCAGCAAACCCCTCAGTTGCAGGCAAACTGGGACAGTTGGTCACCCTACCTGTGGTTTTCCCACATATGTAGGGGCAGAGTCAATCCTAACATCTGCTTCTTCAGCATCATTCTCCCATGTGCCCACCACAGCCTACATCCGATCCCCTAGGGCCTAGCCAAAGCTCAGAGCCAAAAATAGCCCCTAAACATCATAGAAACTCAACATATATTTGCTGAATTTGTGTCCATGTTTGTCTAGCCTCCCAGTTCATGGACTATGGTGTTTTGCCTCTAGTCAATGTTCATCAGTGTTTACTGAATCGTATATAGATGAAATCAGTCTGTAATAAACACTAATGGAAATCTTAAAGAAATAAAGAAGGTTCCAAGCAAGGGAGAGCTCTGTGTCTACAACTTGATGATGGTAGAGGACTTGGGGGTCAACTAAACATTTATGAATATCACATCTCTCTCTGCTAGAAGATCAATTGGTGGAGCACATTTCCTCTCCTGGGCATCAGTCTCCCCAAATCACTGCTCGACTGCCAACACCAGCTGGGCTTCCAAAGGAGCAAAGGTCAAGGTAGGTGCTCCAAAGACTGTTCTAGAAAACATTTCTCATGTCTCAGGCAATGTGCTAATAATTAGCCCATTTAATACTTGCAACAACATGACACCGTTACTATTATTATTCCCATCCTATGGATAAGTTGATTAAAGCTTCTAAAGGGTCTGAATCCAGAAGCCAAGCTCTTAGGCACAAGGACATAGTACGTTCCATGTTATCATACAGTTGATGGATATGCCATGTGTAATAATGTGGTACCTCACTGATTTCTGTTGTCTTTGGGGTGTCCAGATAATAACCAGAATAGTTATTTTCTGGTAACTGACAGATGTTAGGGAGTAAAAGATAATGTAAACGGATCTTTGTATATTTAAGGTAGATTAAGTTTGCTTGTTCTTTCTTCTGATTTTTGAAACTTTGTGCTGGGAACTTGTAGATCTGAACCTGTGCCAAACACTGTAAGCAGTTTTCCTATACCTACGTCTGCAAGTATTTGCAAACTTAAAAATGCTTCCCTCGAAAGGTCCTAAATATGCCCTTCTGAAAAAAAAAAAATCCCGTGCAATGTCTTTTTCAAATGTCCCTCCTTTCTTTCCCTTGCCCTCCCTTTTCTCTCCTTTTGTGTGAATTGGATGTTCTTGTACCAATATACCTAACTGAGGGAATCAAGCAAAATGTAAATGTAGGTGAAGCCATACTCCTTGAGTATAATATCCTTAACTACTCTAATTATAGAGAATATATTGGAATTGGCTGAATCCTACAGGAAATAATTCTTTAAACTTCTCTAATTTAACCTTAGAAATGCATAGAATCAAGAAATTTTAACACTAGAGAGAATCTTAGAAATAATCTAGTTTGGTGGTTTTCTACCTTTGGTCTACAGAGCCCTGGGAGCCTGATTAGCGAGTGACCAGCCAACAGGGTCCCATCAGCATCAAGGAACAGTGACAGGTAACGGTCAAAGAGGGGCTCCTGCTCACCTTCAATGAGCACCGATGGCATGTGTTGTGAGCTGACCCACCCAGCACGTATTGCAACCCCTTTCTAGCTGGCCTCCTGTCCTGCACAGTGCCTGGGTTCAGTCAAGCAACACACAGGTACAAGTGAGCTACGTGAAAAGGCAGCCATAGGCTGGGGGTTCAGATCTTCTGGCAAGGACAATGGCAGCATCATTAGGCAGAGCTGTGTAGAGTTTCTGGATTCCAGTCTATAGTGTGGTAGGTATCAAGTGATGGGCAAGTGACAATGTGGCTTCCACCAGAATAGGGGCATGGTGGAAAATTCTCTAGCTGCTTTGTTCCTGGATGGGCAATATGCATGCCCAGCTGTCCAGCCTTCCAGAGACCCTGTAGGCTTACTTGTATCTTTTATTAAGCTCTTCCTACCTGAACTACCTACAGTAGATTTGGTGGTTGCAACCAAAAACCCAGACAAATTTGCTTTTATGTCTTGATGTAGTGTTTCCTTATGATTTTATTTAACCAAAGAATTCTGGGAGGAAGAAAATGTGACAACTACAGATTCTATCAGCTGTCTCTCAGTTCTGATTCTATCAGTACTCTTACATACAAAGAACTTGGGGTTCAGAGAAGAGAAGTGAAACTATTAGTGGTAAAGCTGAGTTTAGAATTCAATTCTCATGATAGGCTCACCAAGTGATGTTCCAGAAAGTGACCTTAGCAAACCAGATCCCATTCAATTGCCCAGTCCTTAAGAATCACCTAGGTGGGACTTCCCTGGTGGCACAGTGGTTAAGAATCCGCCTGCCAATGCAGGGGATGCGGGTTCGAGCCCTGGTCCAGGATGATCCCACATGCCACGGAGCAACTAAGCCCGTACGCCACAACTACTGAGACTGTGCTCTAGAGCCCGGGAGCCACAACTACTGAAGCCCTGGAGCCACAACTATGGAAGCCCACGCGCCTAGAGCCCATGCTCTGCAACAAGAAAAGCCACCGCAATGAGAAGCCGGCGCACTGCAACGAAGAGTAGCCCCCACTCGCCGCAACTAGAGAAAGCCCATGCACAGCAACTAAGACCCAATGCAGCCAAAAATTAATAAATAAATAAAATCTACATTTAAAAAAAAAAAAGAAAGAATCACGTAGGTGGCCTTTGGCTGGCCCTTCCTGCACACTTTTTAAAAAGCTCCAGTTTTACAAATTAAAATATTGTTTCCTTTTACATTTCAAAAGTTTTCAAATGTCCTGCTGTAGACTATCAAATCTTATTATTTTGTGAATGTCTCCATTATTCTAATAAAATGTGATTAGTATTCCTCAGATTTCTCCTTTCCAAAAGTATTAAGATACTTGGGGACAGTTCCTAGAATGCTACATCAATCTTTTTTTTTAAATTAAAAAAATTTTTCCCAAAAGGTGTATCTATGTCAATATGACCAACATGGTGCAGGTCTTTCAGATTATAGTACTGTATCACAGATGGAATCTGAGATTATATACTATAGCATAGCTAAGAGCATGAGTTCTGATATCTGGGGCATATTATCTACCCTCGTTAAGATCTCAATTACCCTATCTGAAAAAAACAAGAGTGATAATCATACCTACCCGTCTCATGGGATTGTTGTAAGAACTACGTGGAATCCATGCAAAAATCGCACCATGCCTAGCACATAATATATGCTTAATAAGAGTTAGCTGCTATATTTTTCTTCTTCTCCTTCTCCTCCTCCTCCTTCTTCTTATTAAAACAAAATCTTAACTATGATAAGGAAAATTCCAGAGAAAATTGCTTCCTGTCTTCCAATCCCAAACTCCTTTCAGATTTCAAAAGGAACTGCCCCAGAGGGCATTTAGTTATTTGTCCCAGAGTCTGCTGGTAACTTTTTTTCTGCCCAGGAATGAGGGTGAAGGGAAAAGGAGCAGCTGGCCGACACACTCCACATTAGAGCCCACCCACGTCATGCAGGCTGTCACAGTCTGTGGAAGCCTCATGCTGGAAGCCCATCTCTCAGAGGACCTTCCATTTTCCCGGCATCATGAAGAAAAAGGCTGACATATTCCAGAGTTTGCAAAGTGCTTCGCTGAAGAGTTTGACTT